GATGCTTACTCTTTGTCATGGGGCACTGTGATGTTGTATTATAAATTATTATATTTGTTGTTCGGGTTTTATTTGAATAATTGGTTTATCACATTTTAGTTATAGTCACAAAAATAGTCACATAATAAAACTACAAAAAACACTCGTTATAGCCCTTTTGAGTTCTCATTATCAATTACACATAAGTTTTAAAATAATAATTTGCTTAATGTGATTACATAGATACAAGAATGAGTTTTACAAATAGAAACTGGATGTATCAAAGGAAAGACGAAGGCGGGTATCTTACTCAAGTATTCATCAAAGGAGTTAATATGTTCGTTAACTTTGCAAAGAGTAAGCCAGACTTCATGGATGGAAACAAAATTAGGTGTCCATGCACAAAATGCCGTAATCGGCAATACCAAGAAGTTGACACCTTGAAATTACACTTGGTGAAACACGGTTTTGTTCCAAATTATTTTGTGTGGAATAGACAAGGTGAAACTTTGAGTGATAATAGTCCAACTAGGGATCATGCTTTCGAGAATCAAAACTTTGGTTTTGAAGATATGCCCTCATGTTCCTATCGGCAAATGGTCATAGATGCTGCAGGTCCAGACTTTATCCCAACAAGGATTATGGATGAAGAGCCAAATGCAGAAGATAAAAAATTCTTTGACATGCTAGAAGCTACCGATAAACCGTTGTGGCCTGGTTGTGAAAAGTTGTCACAACTATCCATTGTATCCCGTTTATTGAATATTAAGTCGGAGTTTCGTCTATCTGAGCAATGTTTTGATGCAATTTGTCAACTATTTAAGGATGCATTACCAGAAGACAACAACATGGTTGATAGCTTTTATGATATGAAGAAGTTAGTACATGGCCTTGGACTTCCAGTGGAGAAAATTGATTGTTGTAGTTCAGGGTGTATGTTGTATTGGGGTGAAAATAAAGACTTGACAGAATGCAAAATTTGTCAGCACCCTAGATACAAGACATCTATGGAAAGTTGATGGAAATACTAGAAGTTGAGTACCCAGCATTGCCACTGAAACGTACTGTGCTGTTTAAATGTGAATGGTATGATCCCACTCCTAACGTTGGAGTAAAAGTTCACAAACAATACAATTTGGTGGAACTCAATCAAAGGAGAAGGTTCAATAAATTTGAGCCATTTATTTTAGCAATGCAAGCTTCTCAAGTTAGTTTTGTGTCTTATCCTACCACAAAACGAGGTAAATCTGATTGGTTTGCTGTATGTAAAATTAAACCAAGGGGGTGGATTGATAGCTCGATTACAGAAACCGGTCACTCAAAAGAAGATGCTTTTCAAGAAGATGAGTGTGAAGCAATTCAAATCACAGATTCTACAGATGAGTCAATTGCTACATTATGTGATTCAAACATTGATATGGATATTCCAGATGGAGATTCTGAAAATGATGAGGATGTGAATGAATTTGTATCAAGTTCATCCAGTAGTGAAAGTGAAGATGAGAATGATTATAATTCTGATAGTGATTAGCAATATGATTGACAATGAGATAGATATTAGCAACAATATGCCTTTATTTATTAATTTGTTTAATTTATCATGACATTCATTTACTTATTAAGACATTCAGTTATTTTGAATATTACTTTGGATATATTTTTGGTTTTGGTATTATATTTGCCAGGTGGCTCAGTATTTTGTGACTTTAAATGGCAGCATATAAACACAAAATGTAGTCATTGTTTTGCAGGAAAATGTCTAATTTGCCACCATCTGGTCGAGGACCAACCAAACGTAAGCGACCAGCAACTCCCGTGGCCAGATTTGTGAGTCGTGTGCCATCATCATCCACTCCATCATTTGGTTCCTCCTCAACTACTACACCACCATCCACTCCATCACTTGGTTCTTCGCCAACTATTCCACAAGTTGGCTCATCATCTACCAGTCCACCACGTGATTTATCACAATCTACTCCATCACCCAATACCTCCACTCATTTCAGTACTGATACAACTATCTCAAATAATAACTCAGAGCAACCACTACATGTTATTGGGTCTATAGGACCAAATGGTCGTTTGTGCATTGGAGTTAAAAAAAAGCAGTAAGTGTTAAGTTTATAAAACATGTTATATATATATATATATAGATTCTATTTATTAATATTTATTCTCTGATAGTAAATGCTTCAAATTATATTCTTTCGTTATACAGATTACTTCCTTCAGAAGAATGTTCTCGAAAGATTACTTCTCTTTTCAAGGAAAGGGTTGATCCTCATGGTTACTCATGGGCTAACTTAAGTGAAGATATAATAAAGTTTTATTGGGATGAGTTTAAGGTACTTTTTCAATCATTTATCTTATATTTTGTATTTTTTAACTATGAACAATCAAGAAAAGATAATTGGCAGCAAACAATTATTATATTTTAGTTGACTTACAATAAATTTACAATGATCTGTAGAAGCATTGCTATTGGAATCCTATAATAGAATCTTCAATAAAGGCAGCGTGGACTACAAAAGCTAAACAAAGATATTCCAATTATCTCAGTAATATGAAAACAAGAAGATGTCAGAGGAATTCATCAATCACTCAAGAAGTTTGGGATAGTTGGATGGCTATGTGGAGTAGTGAAGAATTTCAGAAGAAATCTAATCAATGCAAAAAAAATAGGCGTCAAGGTGAATTAGAGAAGACTGCCCTATCTACTCATACTAGTGGGACCATATCTCATGCCAAAGTTGCTAGTCAAATTGTAAGTTTATTGAAACTACTTTTTTTGCTACCAACTCGTGATTTATCATACAAAATTTGTTATGCATAAATAATGATAATAATACTAATAATTACTATTATTATTATTATTATTATTACATGATAAACACTCCTTTTATCTAAAGCTGGCACCTTGCGGTCCATGTTAAAAAGGAAAACTTCCCAAGAGAAAGAGCTTTTATTATTTATTTATTTTTTATGTGAAGTAAATAATGCATAGAATGGTTGGAAAATGGAAAGAATGGAGGCATTAACGTAACACCAGGGACTGAATGGCAGCATTGAGATAGCACTTCACTGAACAACATAGTGGTTCAGTTGACCTGACCAAGGCTCAAACCAAACAAGCAGAACTTTACAGAGAGGTCTAATGTATTGTTGAGAAAGGTGAAAGATACTCTGTCTTGTTGCTCTACAAATAAGGTTGCCAAATCAAACATGTATTTTGTAAACAAAGAGCCTAACAAGGAGAGTCTGGTCACAGCAGCGAAGGGAGCCATCTCCAAGTGGAGTGAGTACTTGATAATAGATGATGATTGATGATGCCGGTAATTGGATTCTAGAAGTGGGAGAATGCTTACCACTTTCTAGTGATTTAGTTTTAAAGTAAATAATCAAATGGGTCCACTTTCGCGTCAGATATTTGTGGATTTTGATTCTCCTTAAGAGGATTAATTTGTTCTTTTTACCTCAAACATGATGTCATACTGTTATAGAATGCTTCCATAGCGTACTGTCTAATATTGTGATTCATATGATATTTATTATTTGATTACTCTAATTCTCTAACATTGTGTGTTACAAATGATTATTATGTAGGAAAAGGATTCCCAAACTACAGTGACAAGTTATCAGGTTTTTTTGTATACACATACAAAGAATCACGATGGAGAGACTTTTGTAAATGATCAGGCTAAAGAAGTGAATGTAAGTATTTTTTAAATATTATTATTATTATTTTTTAAACAATTTGCCCTTATATTAATCCAATAAAATATTATAGGATGAATTTGTTTTACGTCGTGAGGAGCTAACTGATATTGGTGAGGAAGTAGATGATGATGAGTTGTTCTATGATGTTGTTGGTGGACCTGACTCAAAGAATAGGTTGTATGGAACTGGCTCATATGGCACACAAAATATTCATCGTAAAGCTTCGGAGTACTCTTCTGAAATGGACACTTCATCACCACAATGTAACAATGCTGAAATTAATCATTTGAAGGGTGAAGTGGAACGTTTGCAAAAGATCGTGGAACAACAGAAGGAATTTCAACAACAAGCGGATCAAAGGCAACAAAAAACGGATGATGTCATACGTGCTTTACAAGAGCAGATTGAAACTTTATTAGCTCGTAATAGATAGAGTTCTTTTCAAGATGATGGTCGGTTTTAATTAGTCATTTGATTACTAGTATTCTTAAAGACGTAATCATTATTTAAGACATTATTATTGTTACTAGGAGGTTGGACAGTCCATTCTTTAAAGTTTATAAATTTCTGTTATTATTTGAGACATTACTATTGATATTCGTCGTTGTTATGATCTAGTTGTACTGTTGTATGGTTTATAAATATTATTTTATATAGGTTGCAACAAAATGTAGGTTGTTATAGTTTTTACAAAATATGTGCAAGAAAACTTGCAATGAGCATTTATTGTAATTCATTGCATTTTTGCAACGGAAATTGCAATGCAAAATAAACTTAACTACGGCTACATCCATTGCAAAATTGCAACGTAACTTGCAATAAGGTATACAATTTTGTTGCAAACATTGCAATTGAAATTGCAACTACATTTCCGTTGCATTTTTTGCAATGGAAAAACTCATTGCAATATTAGCTATGGAAAATGCAACATAATATGATTGTTGCAAACAAAATGCAATGGAAATACATGAGTTGCATTTTCCGTTGCATATCATTGCAACGAATTGAACCAGCGTTGCAAATAATTGCAAGGACGTGAAATGCAACGGAATTTTGTCTGTTGCATTTGTTGTTGCAAAGCACAAATTGCAACGGAAATCGAACATTTTGCAATGGAAATGTGCATTGCAATTCGGCATTTTTCTTGTAGTGTTAAAAAAATCAAGCCATATAACGAAAGCTCTCTCCCACTTATAATATCTCTATTTACCTCTAGTCCTTCAAGTGGACATGCAACTAAAATGATCATTTCCACGAAAAGAGGAGATGAGAAACCATTTCGGTCATCAATACAATATACTTCTTAGTAATACAAACCAGAAATAATCAAACGAGAGAAACATAACTTACAAAAAAAACATGGTGAGAAGTGCCATGTCCCCCTCCTCCTCCTCCACCACTGCCCCAATTGTGATATCCATAATGACGATCTCTTGAAGATGAAAGGTTTATTCAACCTATGTCATTTGAATAAACAAAAAAACAGTCAATGAAAAAACAGCAAACAGACCAATTGATTCCAAACCAGTGCAAGTAATCTATTGCCAGAGCAGAAGGAATGGGCATCTAAGATACAAGGAACATTGGCAGTTTCATCTAGGTTGGTTAGAGCAGAGGTGCCTCTAAGTATGCATGGGAGAGGTACCAGGCTGGGTTCAAATATTGTGAACCCCAAAGATGACAACAATACGAATAGTAATAATACGTATAAGAAACAAGGTGGGTATGATGATATTCTTTAATTTAGAATCTTGGATAGGATGAATTTTTAGTAGGTAAAACCATTATTATGGTTCTTATGATTATCATTAGCAATGTTGTTTTGAAGTTAAGACTACTATCTTTGTAAAATCCTCCTATAAGTTACCAGTTTATGGTGTTTAGAAAAAAGAACAATTAATCTACACCACAGACACAAAGATGAAACATTCAATTGAACCCAAAAACATATATAGTCAGGGAACAATCGGATGCAAGAATGAATTTAAAAACTAATCTTATATAGAAACAAATGTGTTTCATATCACATAATAAATCCAAATAAAATCCAAATGAATCTCTGTTTAGGCTTATCCCGCAAAAAATCAGAAATCTGTGTAGCTTGAAGTGGTATACGTATACCAATTAGGTATACATATATCGACTCAAACCTCAAACTAAACCAAAACAACTAATTGAAATGAAACCTTAAAGTCCAGCCAATCCATGAAGGCAAGAAGAATGGATGAGTTTGCTCTGATTCAGCATTTGTACGATGACTTCGCTCTGCCCATCATTACAGAAGCAAAATTGACAGAAATCCATAGAAATTGGAATATGGAGGAGTAAATAATCCCAAATAGTTGGAAATAAGAGAAAGATAGCCTGGCTGCTCCAATGGATGTAGACGGTTAGGTCGATGGATCCCATTTCAGTTTGAAAAAAACAAAACCATCATATTTATTAGCTGACAGTATCAGGGTGAGAGGCGGTGTTATCGTATTACCGGAGAAGGTTGAATCTTGTGGACGCTGGGCACAGGAGAAACTTGAATCTCGTGGACGCAAAGCTTTTCCCAAATTAGCCGAAACGACACAAAGCGTTCTTGAAAAGAGACTGAAGTTCCCGGTGAGGCCATCTATTGGAGCTGCTTGATACTCCATTGAAGCTGAGAGGCTTGGCGGAAGAAGACTCATGTCAACCCTAGCTCTGCCATCTGCGAATTTCTGGGGAGCGAAATGACTAACGAATCGGGAAAGACATCCGGCCTGTTTTATGTGGATGAGCGATAAAAAAGAGGAAAGAAAACGGAAGTGTTAAACGTTGAACTGTAGCAACGGAAAAATGCCCAAGTTAACTTCCTTTCGCGATTTATATATAAGTAGATGACCGAGAAATATTAATGAGTTCTTCAATAGGTGTAAATGTGTGGAAATTCTACGTCAATAATAGTTGTGGGTTTATATATATAAAAATTGATATACGAATTATATCTCGTTATTTAAAACGCTATATAAACTAAGAATCAAGTTGGATTACGTAGTGACCAATGCCTAAATAGTAGCGCCGAGATATAAATGGTGCTATAACGAGTTAAGTTTTGTTCAAGATTTTATAAACTTGTGACAAATTATTGTCACAAGTGTATGGATAGCAAACACTTGGGATTAACTCAGGAGTTATGCATTTTAACCCTAACAACTTGAACAATTTCATAACCCGGGATAATTAAAACGTACTTAATAAGTTCACAAGATATGGACAATCTTGTTGTAAAATATTTGCTAACCGTTGTATCTCTTCTAAACGGGTTATGAAACATGCGTGAGTATCATGGTTCATCTCCCACTAAATAAAGATTAAGCCATATTATCTGTTTGAATTTTGCCTTTAATGATCCTTTTTGAGATCACTATACAAGTTCGTTCATTTGTTTTTTTGTATTATAATAGGCAATCTTGCGTGAGGTGCTATCTGTTATAACTTATAAACCCATACGAACTGTAATATCCGCCATCTACGCCTAGATTTCGTAATCATATCTTATATCTTAACAAAATTATAAGATATGATTTAAAAACATATTAGCCAAACGTATCACTTAAAACATAATCATTTAAGGGCTTCATTACCTTCTCGATATTTTCAGTGAAGTTTATAGAAGATTACGCCAACACTTATAGTACAGCAATTACTGATAGTATGGATTATATCCTCGACAGAGATTAGACTAAAACTTACACGTTATTCAAATACAACAACAACATCCAAGCCTTAGTCTCAAACGGTAATGAGGTCGGCTAACATGAATCGATATATGATATCACATTATCACCAAAAGGAAAAGAAAGAAAATAAAGATAAAAAAGATAAGCTATTATAAAAAAAAGATAACATAAAAGAGATGAATATACATATAAAAGATCAAATAAAAAGGATAAAGTAATATTTATATATAAGGATAAAGATATAAAAGAAAAAGAAAAAAAAAGAAGAAGAAGAAAAAAAAGATGATTGAGCCCTTCACGTTATTCAAATACTTCACTGAAAATATCGAGAAGGTAATGAAGCCCTTAAATGATTATGTTTCGTAATGGATCCAATATTTTTTATAAGCTCGTGAAGATTTCCGTTTTGCAAGATATGTAAATATGATGGATCGTCAGACCAGGGGTTTTATTACAAATAGCGTTTATAGATTTTTGTTTATTCAGCTCCAATATAATATGTTTTAAACATGCTCAATTACTTATGAGATCTTCATATCGAACATATAGGAGCGAGCTTTGTGACAATCATATCTTACTATAGTGTCAATATCAAGGTTTCCAACAAGTGATTTAATACGCTAAATCACTTGTCTTCATTTACAAGTGCTCTACACAGCAAGATATGATTGGTAATCTATCTTAAGTATATATCAAGGATATATAGGATAGTGCTCTATGAAATATCTTTTACTTAAAATACCTAGACTTATATATTCTTCCCTATTAATACCAAAATTTAGGATTAGTTTTACATAATCCTTGGAACTATAAAGAACTTAATAGTGATATTGTACAGAGGATATCTAGACCTCTTAAAACTTATCTTGCCAACTAAAAACACTTTTATTGTGGTATTTTCATCTCTTTTACTAGGGTTTAGAAGGTTTACAAGTTTAGATATCTCATATAATATCTAAAGATCTTATGTGTTACAATTGTACTTGTATAAGAATAGCACTTAGTATTTATGAGTGTCACAAATACTTTCATCGGTATTACTGTAACACTTGAGATTTAATATAAACGGATTAATAGTACTACTCATACCAACAGAGGTGCATCTCCTTTTAAGGGAGCTCATTACCTAAGAACTCCAAAGTTAAGCGTGTTTGCACGGGAGTAGTCTTGGGATGGGTGACCCCCTGGGAAGTTTCTCAGGGCGCGCATGAGTGAGGACAAAGTGTGCGGTAAAGGCTTGTGATGGTTTGTGAGGACAGTACTATTGGTCCGGAGTAACTACCTCGGGTCCGGTGGGGCCGGGGTGTTACAATTACTGAGTGTCACAAATATCAAAGCCACACTCAGTAGTATATTTTGGCGGATTCAATTATAAGAATATATCTCATTCCGTTTTGTTAGCGCAAAACAGATCCTAAAATATAAACCCGAAACGGATATACGTGTGGTTTCAAATTAAATCATATTTATGAATTACAGAAATTATTTTAGGATCTATATAAAGTAAGTTTTTTGTGACCATTGTACTGAATATAATTTTGCAACTGACAAATATCCCTGAGTGAGATATAAGTTACGGAGTATTTCTTTAAAGCCATACGTTTAACTTATACAAAATGCTATTTAGGCCTGTTGTAAATTGTTAATAAAACGTGCTAAATGAATATTCGTGATCATATTAAAGATTACTTAATATTACAAGAATATTACCATGAATGATAAATTGACTAGTATGTTCCGGTCTTTTATTACGTTTTAATTTAAAAGATCGGAACTTTTAACTTAGGCCTTCTCTAATATTGAGTTAGATCCGATATAAACTGATGAAACGGTTAGCAACACAAGAGGGGGGGTGAATTGTGTGTGTGGAACCGTGGCAGTTTTTCGCCAAGTTCTAGTGTGGGAAGAGGGGATTTGCAGATAAGTAAAGTGCACAAGTATTTAACGAGGAAAAATCCCTTGGCTCAAAGGGATTAAAAAACCTCGACCTCCCTCGGAGGAATTTTGAACAACTTCACTAAAACCAAGCCTTGGAAAGATTACAAGAGTGATTCTCCTAATCTACTCTTGAGCCTCCCCAACTCTATCCTCTCTAGGAAGAGTTATGCTTCTCTACCTTTTGGGTAGAGAGCCTCTCGGCTTTATCACAAAGCCCTCACACACACTTAACCCAACCCGAGGCAGCTACACTTAGCTAGGCCTCAATATCTCAATTACAATAGAAGAAGGGAAAAGAAAACTCTATCTAGAACTCCGTGCAGGCAGTTTCAGGCATCATAGGCTTGATCTTTTTCTTGAGTTATTCTTCTAAGTATTTTCTCGGTCAAGCATACCCTCTTCTCTTCTTCTCCTTTGCTTTTTATAGTCGGTTTTTATGTGGATCCTTTGAAGCCTTGTGATTCTTGCCTTGAATTAATTTAAAGAACCTTCCATCTATATATCCAAGTCAAACGAGCTCACAAGGCAATGGATAGTTATCAAAGCAATATATTATCTTTCCATAATAGGACCAACGGATCATAACAGTAAATGATTTTTAGCAAATCTGAATTTATTCAAAAAGTAGCTTTCCTTTAATCATGCTACGTTCTTTATTTAAAAAACAATTGCCTCCTTTAAAAGTGGATGCATTAATTAAGGATCTTTCTCATAAAGGTATTTTATTAGTGCTTTTATTTTGCAAGTCAAAATTAATGTCACGTAATCATGTATGCAAGTATATATATAAGTGAGTCACAGAAATAGTATAGAGTAGTTCCAACTCAGGTTCATTAACGAGCTTCGTACTAGGGAACCTGCATGGTTATTCACCAATATATAAAGACCAGTTCATTCTGTGTTCCTGCATGGTTAGTCATCAACAAAACAACATATTCAACAAATTCCCCATTTTTGTTGATGACAAACCATAGGTGCCTTTCCTGCAAAATAAATTATAGCAGCATAATAGTAGCAAGACAATAAAGGCACCTGATTATTTCCCCCTTTTGGCATCAACCAAAAGGAAACAGGAATAATCAAAACAGTACCAAAACAGTGATGTGTTTGAAGCAGTGTCAAAATACCCAGTGTCAACCCGAAACCCAACACAAATGAAATGTTTGATTAATCCTCATCATCGGAGGATGGAACAAGTGTCCTATGGATAGCCTCCGGTTCTTCAAGTTTCAGCAACACCTCCTGTTTGAAGGATAGGAAATCTTTGTAGATCGCATTGTGGGAGTCAGCCAGAGTGTCCACCTTTTTGGCCAAAGCAGCAAGTGATTCTGAAAGGGCATCAAATTTGTACTGAAGAGAGCGTTCTAGCATATTAATGTGGTCGGTGATGGGAGGAACAACTATCATAGGGTCACTGGAAGGAACAGGGGCAGGTCCAGATTTGGGCTTCGGATCAGAAGATGAGTGAGTAGATTCCTTGGGTACCAATTTGGAATTTGTGATAATAATTCCTAGATTACCTAGACCTCTCTTGTCCACAACTTTACTGGCATCCTTAGGGGTAAATTTGTCAAGAGCAATGTCTTTAGATTGGAATATTTTGGTAAGAAGCGGTGCACAAGAAATTCCATTTTTTCAAGATTTGGTACTAATGATGAAACTAAGATGCTTTAACATGAGACCAGGAAGATTTATTGGTACCTTGTTTGCAAGGAGATACATGTAAGCCAATTCGGCCCTAGATGGTGATGAGCGTCCTTCGAGTCTAGGGATCAAATTATGGTGAACAAAATAGAATAGCAGCTTGTGGACAGGTGATAGTCTCGCAACATGAAGTGAAGACTCAGTAATGGTTGGGTCAAAGAACTGGAGTGCGACATCTTTGGAGACATCAGTTAGGGGCCATTCAGTTTTGTTGTGGGCACATTCACCAGCATGTGGGACACCAAGAATTTTTCCTAAGTCTTCAATATCTAACAAGATCTTTTCGTTTTGGACCCTAGAGGACATCACATCATCCTTGACAATTAAGTTTGCTAAAAACTTGGCTATCAGTTCAGGATAAACAGAGAAGTC